TATAAATTATCAAGGGCTCATGAGGGAGGGAGGGGGAGAGAGGGGCAGGGACGGAAAAAATGAGGAGCTGATACCAAGGGCTCAAGTAGAAAAAATGCTTTGACAACGATGGTGGCACCATATGTACAAATGTGCTTGAGACAAAGGATGTGTGTATGGATTGTGATAAGAGTTGTATGAGCCCCAATAAAATTTAAAAATATTAAAAAATAAAGAATATGGGAAGGAGGAGGCGAGGAGAGCTCATGGAAGTTATAGGAGTGGAGGGAAGAAGGAAGGGATGGAGGGAGTGAAGGAAGGACGGGGAACTGAGCCTCACAGCTCCGCAGAGCAGCAGTCTGGACAGGGGGCTGTTTCTCACCAAGCCTAGGGGCCCCCTAGAGGAGGTTGGAAGCCAATGCAGGCCCCAGAGCCAGTACACCTGGCTGGGCCCAAACTAAGCCGGTGGGCTTAATTCAGCCAGTGGGGTCAACCAGCACCATGGACCACGCCTCCCAGCGAAGGTCGCCTGAAGACCAGAACTGGGAGACCGGCCCTCCCTCCTCTCCCTCTCCCTCTCCTGTCCTCCCCTCAGGTCCTCCCTACATGTGTGGGGGTGCAGTTCTGTGTTCCCTTGGCTGTAAAACCTGAAGCTGCTTCTATCCTTTACAGAAACTCACTTGGATCACAAACCAGGCTTCGGTGAGAATTTCTTTCTTGTGCAAAGCCAAGGACCAAGGTATTCCCCACCCGAGAAAGCCAACACGATGTTAGGCGGGGAAAAGATTGAAAATGGGGGCAGGGATGGGGGGGGGGGGGCAGAAGGACGGATGACACACAGGCGAGGAACTAGAGAGACCCCGAGGGCGGGAGCGGGGTGCACTGCCAGCTAACTAGGAGTTTGCCAGGCCAGCCTAGCTGCCCTTGAGGCGGGGTTTAAGGAGACTGAGAAAGGACTAGGAAGATGAGATGAGGCAGAAGGGCTCCCCACCCACTCTTCTTGAGGCCCCCATCTCTGGGTGGCCACACCGCTGTCCCTAGCCCCTGCTCACCCTGGTGTAGTAGCCAGGGTACAGCTTCTCTGTCATGGGCGCAACGTACTCCACCAGGAACTTGTGCCACTCCCGCTCAAAGCCGATCTGGTTCATGTGGATGTCAATGGTCGGCACGTTCTCATAGCCGCCCTGAATGCGGTTGTCCTGCAGTCACCAAGGACAGGGTGTGTCCAAGAGGGTACAAGCCTACGGCGATGGCAGCACCCACCACCACCACCACCACCTCGGGGTGGGCTGACTGCTCCATCCCCTCCTACAACTAAGCGGTTTCGAGACACAGCAAACGTGAGAGGGTTTTGCAGATGTAGTTAAGGTCCCTAATCAGTTGCTTGTGGCCTGCTCACAGGGCAATGATGCTGGACGGGCATCATTCAGGTGTGTCCTTTAACAAGAGGAGTTCAGAAGATTCTCAAGCTGCTCTCAAAGAAGTCAGCCACCCTGAGCTCTGCGGCTGCAAGGAGATGAACTCTGCCAACCAAGAGAGCTTGGACTAGGAGCCTGAGCCACAGATGTGGTCCAGATGCACAAGGGTTTTCCCCCAGGTTGTCCGCATATTGTATGCTGGGCCTAGGATGCTACTTGCGAGCGCATGGTGGGTGATTACATTCGGAGGTCTGCTACTTAGAACAGTGGTTCTCAACCTTCCTCATGCCGCGACCCTTTAACACAGTTCCTCATGTGTGGTGACCCCCAACCATAACATTATTTTCATTGTTACTTTGTAACTGATTTTGGTACTATGATGAACCGTATTGTAAATATCCGATATGCAGGATATATTTTAATTGTAAAAAATTGAACATAATTAAACACAAAGCATGGTGGTTAATCCCAAAACTATGGAATTATATATTGTGAAATGTTCATTTTCTGATGGTCTAAGGCAACCCCTGTGAAAGGATCGTTTGGCCCCCCCAAAAGGGTCGAGACCCACAGGTTAAGAACCGCTGGCTTAGAGGTCATCTCCCTGAGGATACCAGCCATCTTGAGCAATCAGACCCTTTGTCTGTCCCACCATAGGTGGGGTCCACTCCCTGCTGATAAGATAGTGGATTGTTTCCCTGATGGAGAGCCCAGAGACAAGGTCAAGCCAACCGAAGAATGATCAAGGTTAGGCTGCCATCTTGGATCTAGGATCTACCCATCTTGTCACATGTATATCCCTCCCCTTCCTATTACATGTACACCCCTAGCTCACCCCCTTCCTGTGGTGCATATGCCTACTGTACAGCCCTTTCCTGTTACGTAAGTGGTGACCTGTAATCAGAGGGGCTTGCACACCCCCTAGGTGTATATAAGCCTTGGTTAGAAATATATTCTCTCTTCTCCCACCTCCACATGGACCACCAGGAAGGGCTGAGGAAGTGGTGTTAACAAACCCAGGGACAAGGGAACAACAAGTGATCCAAATCGGTGGTGAGGAGGGTGTAGGAGACCTGGTGTGACCAAGGGTAATGTAACCGAGAGGAATTACTGAAACCCAAATGAAGGCTGAGTATGATAGTGGGACAAGAGGAAATTTCAAAGGAAATAGAGGAAAGAGGTAGGAGGCAAAGGGCATTTATAGAGGTCTAAATAGAGGCATGTACATATGTAAATATATTTATA